CCAGATAGATTATTGTTGGAAAGATCTAATGCCGCCAAATTCTTCAATCTCTTCCACGAAGGGATCTTTCCAGAAAGTCGATTCTTTTCTAGAGATAAAACATGTAAGCTCTCTAACTTACTTATCGAAGAAGGAATGCTGCCATTGAGGTGGTTCTCAGAAAGATCTAGAGATTGCAAACTCAACAAATCTAGGCCAAAGTTTGCTGGAATGGATCCTAAGAGTAAGTTGTGCCTTAATGTAAGAGTAGTGACACCAGAAAAGAGTGGAATAGTACCCTCAAATAAATTAAAACTAAGGTCTACGTTGGAATTTGGTGCAAAGTTCAATGATCTTGGAAGTTTTCCACGTAATTTGTTGTTGTTGAGAGATAAATCTTGAAGTCGTAGACTTAGTTTCCAGAACCAACTAGGTACAAAATCTGAAATTCCAACTTGGTCAAGACGAATAAAGGCTAGTTCCTTTTGAGTTTGGAGCCAAGCAGGAAATCTGGGATCCATTTGGCAATTAACAATGTATATCGAATTGAGACTGAAAGGAGGAACCCAGTCATATCCCATATCACATGCTAGTGAATTTTCTTTAACTCCAGATGATAAACCAAAAATTTTCAAATTTTTTAGGTTGAGAAAATGAATCCTAGAAAGATCACCTTCCCAATTATTACCACCAATATGTAAACGAGTCAACTCTTTCAATTGTCCAATAGCTTCAGGAACTGCTCCATTCAATTTGTTGGAAATAAGGTATAATTCCTCCAAGGATGATAGGTTTCCAATAGAAACTGGAAGTGGACCTGAAAGATCATTCAAACTAAGATCAAGATACCTCATGTTCTTAAGATTTCCTAAAGATGGAGATATGTGCCCGTTAAAGCCATTTTCAGACAGATCCAACTTTTTCAAACTATTATTGTTGCATTTCGACAAACTCCCCACTAATTTGACTATTCCTCCAGTCATTTCATTCTTAGATAGAACCAAAGCTTGCAAGCTGCAGAGATTTTCCCAGGCATCAACACTGTCTAGAGAAGACGATTGCAGTGCACTTGGAATTCTGGAATTTGTGTAAGGGTTTCAGTGTTTTAGTATTCCAAATCATCTTCTTCGCAGTCAACATCCGTGAATCCCTTTTGAGAAGCTCGGACACTTACTAGGTATATGAAATCTGAACATGTCACTTGTCCCTTAGCTGATAGATCTATTAAGAAAGCCAGAGGCAAGATTCTTTTTTGTTTTTTTTCTCTTGCATTAGAAAAATTGTGCCTCCTCTTCCTCTTGCAATGTGAAGAAGACTACGCAACTTGGCTGTAGAGTGTAGGCAATCTCAGTAGTATGGAAATTGAAATTTTGTTAAATTTCTTCTTTCTTCTTGACTGAAATTTTACACCTACGTTGCATTTTTAATTTGAAAATTTCCTGTTGTTTTATGCAGGTAAAGCAGGTCCCCTTTTTGAAATCGAGATTCTGATTGGGAAGAGCTGAATTTTTTCAGTGTCACTTGTGGTGAGATTTCCTTAATTTTATTTTAGGAAATCCATTTTTTTTTTTTTTTCCTTTTTCCTTTGCAAGGCATGCAAAGAGTTATACTTGATTCACTGAGAATCATCCCTAAATATAGACATTTATATGTGATATTTGACTAAGGTTGTATTGTATTCGTGCAGATGCTACCCATTCTCATGGCAACACTCCCATCCATCCTAAATGCTCCATAGAAAATTCTGCACATGACAAAGCTACTGTTGTGGATGATGAAACTTCCGCAAATGACATGAAAAATCAACTAATTGAGCTCTTTCGTAATAGATTCAATGGTACTGCCATTGTGAATGGTGATGAACAATTTAGAAGTTCAACCAGAAGACAAACCAGCAAACCTTTCGCAACCTGAAAGAGAAATCAAAACAGTCAGCTGCTGCCTTCTTAGTTTGGTGCAAAGCCTGGGCTTTGATGAGAGAAAGAAGAGACTAAACCCAGCCAAACTGATCGATGGTAAGCCAAATGTTTATGCTGTATAAATTTTTCCAGAAGTTCACACTTCATAATTAGCATTTTGGTAAAAGGAAAAATTGTCAGTATCTCAAATTGTTTTCCGTTTCTTAGTATAGTTTTGTGTTAATATATCATCAAAGTAACATAAACTCTGATGGGTCTTATAATGCTGCTGGTAATTCTGCTGGGGCAGGAGACTTGATTAGAGATGGCTCAGGTTGTTGGATCTCTGGTTTCACAGTCAATGTGGGTGATGCCTCTATTTTTATTGCTGAGCTCTGGGGTCTTAAATGCGGGCTTCGATTATGCAACTCTTGGTTTAATTAAAATAGTTGCTGAAATGGATTCATTGATGGCTGTTCGCTTTATTTAAGAGAATTGGGTACCAAATAATTTGTCTGAAGCAACTTTAGTACATATTAAGAGTTTGATGCTTGCCTTTTGCAACATACTTTGCGGGAGGGGTGTTGACCAAAAGAGGAAATAGTAGAACACCTTGTTCTATTGAACTCACACACACACACACTGTTTTCTTCTTCAATTCTGCTTTTCAAACTTACAAAAGTCAGTGATGTACACCAATTGTGCATATTCTAAAGTATTCTTTTTGTTTACAATATTTTAATTTACCATACATACAAAAATCTAGACACACAACTAACGTGGCTTTCTCTCCATCATATATTCTTGTGTGGCTTCAAGTTACTTTGTAGTAAAATATATGCTTCTAGAAGACTTTTACTTCATCACCTTTTAGATCTCTAGTCGGTGATGAATATTTTAACAAAGGGAATGCTGCAGCAGACTTCTTAGCTTCCTTGGGATACTCTTCGCCACGAGGCTTAAGCATTTGGGACTCTCCACCGAGTGGTTTAAGTTCCATCCTTACAGAGGATCAATTGGGGGCATGCTTCCTCTGTTATTAGTTTCTTTCTAGTTTAGTTTACTTTACTTATGATGTACTAAAAAAATATATCAAAGTAACATATAATCTCTTTATCAAAAAAAAAAAAGAAAAGAAAAAGAAAAAAGGTAACATATAATCTCCTCTCATAGTGCTACTGCATTTATATAATGGAATAGAAGAAACGTTTGTGTTTGTATCATCTTCGGTTACCTGGAAATGAGGCAATCAAAATGCGAACTTTACTTTATATTCAAGACATAATATCTGAAAGGGTGTAGGAGCTGATTGATTTCCAAGGAAAATCTGATAAATGATATATACCCTTTACAGAGGTAGAAAATGAAAGTGATTAACATAATGCAGTTGTGCAGTTACAGAAAAAAAAAAAAGGACAATGACTGTAAATTTATGATTAAAACCATTTCATAATTCTTTAGAAATTGCATAAATAAAATTTAGGTTATAAGCATAAAAGTTGCTTCACAGCCACACAGAATATCAATTTCAGTGGTTCAAAATATATGACATAAATAAGGCAAGAGTCGCACCAATACTTCTCGAAAGCACACAACTGGTTGAAAATACTGACAT